CTTCGACCAGATATTGGCTGATTTCGAGCGAAAGGAGAGGTGCGTCGGCGATACGATTCACTATGACAAAGATCTGGAGGAGCATTGGTGGAGGACCATCGACTTTCTGACACTGGTGGACAGAGCAGGCATTGTTCTGAATCCAGTCAAATTTCAGTTTGCTCGACGAGATGTCGAATTTGCAGGGTTCCATGTCTCAGAACACACTATAAAGCCCCTCCTAAAATACCTGGAAGCCATTCAATCCCTCCCCACCCCAAAGAACACCACTGACATCCGTAGCTGGTTTGGCCTTGTGAACCAAGTGGCTAACTATGCTCAACTGCGAGACGTCATGGCTCCCTTTCGACCCTTCCTGAGCCCAAAGTACAAGTTCTTCTGGACTCCTGTGCTGGACCAGGCCTTCAGTGATTCCAAGCAAGCCATCGTAGATGCAATCCGCCTGGGCGTCGAGATATTCGACACCTCCAAACCTACTTGCCTCCGCCCAGATTGGTCCTCGCGAGGGATTGGCTATTTCCTCCCCCAGCAGCATTGTTCTTGCACCACTGGTATGCCAGACTGTTGCCAAGATGGCTGGAATATCAAACTGGCAGGATCCCGCTTCCTTAATGGCGCTGAACAGCGCTACGCACCCATTGAAGGCGAGGCTTAAGCGATTGCCTGGGGCCTAGAGCAGACACGGTACTTCACCCAAGGCTGCCCCAACCTCATCGTGATCACGGACCATAAGCCACTCACAAAGATCTTCGGAGATCGCACCCTCGATGAGATCTCAAACTCCCGCCTCTTCCGCCTGCAGCAGCGCACCCTGCCGTAGCATTTTCGCATCGCCCACTTACCGGGAAAAACAAACTCTGCAGCAGATGCCACTTCTCGTCATCCCTGCGCATATACAGAAGCATCACCCGAGGACTGCTCTGAATCCTTATTAATTGCATCCATGTCAGAACACAGAAGGGCTCACCTCCACCCCCTGGTCTCGGCTGGCACAGGAGACAAAAGCAATCCCGCCATCCACCCCTTTCGAACAAATCTTCGCTGACTTCTTCGAGTTCGGTGGCCACCACTACCTCATTGTTGGCGACCGTCTTTCCGGATGGTCAGAAATATTTTCTACACCCTCAGGAAGCCCTCACTCAGAGGCTCAAGGCCTGATAGCATTTCTCAGATCCTTCTTCACCACCTTCGGCGGCCCTGAGGAGCTCTCCAGTGATGGGGTCCCTGAGTTCACAGCAAGCGTGACCGGTGAATTCCTTCAGCGTTGGGGAGTGAGGCATCGCCTGTCCTCCGCGTACCACCCCCAATTCATTGGCCGAGCCGAGGTTGCTGTGAAGAGTGCCAAGAGGTTTCTCCGATCTAATGTGGGCCCAACAGGGACATTGGACAACGACCGCCTACTGCAAGCCATGCTTCAGCTGCGCAATACTCCCGATCCCGACTGCAATGTGTCACCAGACCAGATCATCTTCAGACGCCCCATCCGTGATGCCTTTTCCTTCACTAACAGACTGGAAAAGTTCTTTAATCCGGCCATCAATCCCCTATGGCGAGAGGCCTGGACATTAAAAGAGGCTGCTCTCCGAGCACGTTACACCAGAACTACAGAGACATTGAATGAGCAGGTCAAAGCTCTCCCACCCCTGTCCCCTGGTGACAGATGCTTCGTACAGAACCAAACTGGGAATGTGCCTAAAAAATGGGACCGCACAGGGCTGGTGACTGAAGTGCTGGACCACAACCAGTACATTGTCAAAATTAATGGCTCTGGACGTGTCACTAGACGCAACAGACGCTTCCTCAGAGCCTTCAAACCGGCAACGACTGCAACCAAACGAGTCCCTCCTAGGCAATCGCCCACCATTCAAGAGACAGCACCGGGTCCCTCTCCATATATCCCACCCCCCAGCCCCATCGCCGCTCCCGCTGCATCCGATGTGACACAAGAGGGCACCTGAAACCGCTATCCCAGGTCCCTCATCGTCTTCTTCTACCATGTTAGAAGCACCGACCACCCCCGTTGTGCTAGAAGTGACTACCCCCACCGGGCAAGAAGCAGCCCCTTCCAGAACCCACAGGGCCTTGCAACATCTCATGCCACACAATAAGCCAGGACTCAAAGAGACTGTGACCCCTCAGCGCCCTCAGCGGCGAAGAAAGCCTCTTGAGAAGCCATGAACTTGGGGAGGATGTAGCTGAATTATTAGTGTTATTCATCAGTTCATGCTCTATCATCATCATCATCACTCTGCGCCCCTCGGGGACTCATGCGTGTAGATCTAGTTTCATTTGTCAGTGCGATCACTCATCATTTCATTCCGTTCTACATCACCGTCTTGTGTTTTCCATTTCATTTCAGTTGATGTCGTCACCACCCCATTGAATTATTTAAAGTTCATTGATGTTATCCGACAAGTGATGAGTCATTCTTTATTCGTTCTGGTGCCCATACCACAAAGTACCCCTTGTGTGTCGTGCCCTGCTTTCAGGACTTCCACAAAAAGGAAGTAGTACGCTAACTAAACCCCCTGCCCCTTGGATTACTGGAGTATATACATATTCAATACACAAGACTTTGGAGAGTCAAACTGCATGTTTGTGCGTGTTTGTTTCATTTGCGTTTTCACACGGCCTCTCTTATTTTCTCTCAACCTCAGTCTGTGCTAACTATGTGGATTTTGATGCAGAGTGTGGTCTCTTTTTCACCAGAATTCCAAGGATACACAAGCCTAGCACAATAACAGCTATCATTCTTTACTTTCAGGGCCTTTTTACTGTAAATATAGGTAACAACATAGCCAGGGTTGTATCATGGATGTTGAAACAAATTTTTTTTGAATCCTCAAAAAGTGTGTATTTTTGACGGATCGAGGGAAAAAAAAGTATCGAACATAGAGGATTTTTGTAAAGTGCACTGTGTTCAGAAAGGCTGTGTTTGTAAGTGTGCCAAAATTTCAGCTTTGTTAACCCAACTACAACACCACTAAATATTCTTGTGAAAACCCTCCAAAAAAAAAAACGGTACCAAGGGGATGTGCCCGAAAATAAGGCTGGTCCCAAGCGAGTTCAAAAGGAGTATTGGAGACAAATGGTGACTTACTCATACTCCCTTTACAAATATATGTTACCAAGTTGAAATAAATTCTTCTAGACTGAAGAGACACAACTTTGTTACAAATTATACTTTTTTGAGTATGCTGTTCACATTTTATGTTATTTCAAATTAATTTTTATTTCTCTTTCATGAATGGACCAAATAATAGACTCATTTATCAATTCAGTCTTTTTTCTTCCTCCATCAGGATATTTTCAAAAATAGACAATTAATATTGTGCTCTAGTAGTTTTGATCGCATGATGGTTCGTTTTTGTTTTTTTACGATACCAAGTTGTAACAATTATCATAAAATCAATAATAATAATGATACAGCCATAAATCAAACACAGCCGTACAGATAGTTCAGTACTGATTAGTAGAGTGTTTATTTTATTACTGTAAGCGAAAAACTTTTGTATTATGCGTGATTTTGTGCATGGGGTGCATTTGCTTGTCTAAGGTCCCAGGAAGCCAGGGCTCAGAAAGTTAAGAACTCCTATCCCAAAACATTTAAATACAGTGAACCCAGCCACTTATCCATAAACCTACTTATTTCACTACATTAAACATTGACTCCGGAGTCTACCTATCATAAAAACTAGTATGTCGCTTGGTACACCCTGGGGTCCACCTATCCTCTTTCATGAAATAGTGCTTATATGGGAGCAGATAAGAAGAACTGCTGAAAATGTAACACGCCATAACGACAGCCAAATGACAACATGCTCCAAATGGAAATAGAAACCAGTAGTTGGTCCTTTAGAACCTTTTAAATGTCAAATTGGAGAAAAGTATGAGAACCCCCCCCCCCCCCCCATCACTTCAATCTCCCTAACCTACTGTTCAATTTTTTTTTAAAAGTTTTTATATGTCAAGAGAAATAATAAATAAGTCATCTGGAACAAAAAAAATGGGTCACACAGATATTGCCTTTTATTACTATTAGGTTTGAAATCCAAGGGGAGTGATCATTCAAATATCAAAGAACCCCCCCCCCCCCAGAGAAGCAACAAGTATCCTGTCTTAGAACAAAGTCACATACCAGAACATTCTTGAACCCTCCAAAATTTTAGCACTTTTACACAGAGACTGCTTTACTAAAGATAATGCAAAGCCCAGCCAGCAGTGCTTAGAGTTGCCCAATGTCTGCGACTAACCTTATCCTTGATGAAGGGACAGTCACCTCTTGCCCGCCCATGATGTCACGTCGAGAACAATACTTTTTGGAGACACCTCAAAGTTATCATACAAAATCACTGAACTTGCACACCCTAATCCAGCGTTTATGGGTCAATATGAATCTAACGAGTTATGAGAAAGCTGCAACTGGCAACGCAAAAAAGGGGTAACAACTGAAAACAACAAGATATTCATTCTAAGAAACACTTCTTTTTGCAGTTACAGGGTCTAGGGATGCTACTGGGATTTTATGGAAGGGACTGAAAATTTCAGATGTTGAATTTGCAAACAACAACAAATAAAACCCCAGTTAATTATATACACAAGCAAGATGGGGTAAAAGAGAATTCAGGTGCCGTGGCAGTGCTGAAAGTGAAAGTAATAACTGTTCTATCCAGTGAAAGCCACAATGGCACACCCCCCCCCCCCCCCAACGAAAAGATCAAAAGATCACATTCTTGAGAGTCACAGTCATGAACATGGGATTCACTGGTCCAGTTCTGAGCTATTCAGCTGCTGTCAGCTTTCGCTTTACAGTATAATGACAAAGCCACAGAAACTTTTTACTCCCTATCACATTCCATCCACCCCACCCTGACCTTTCACACACGCACTGCACATACTAATCATACTTATAACAGAACAGTTAACCTGTCAATTAACTATCAGTCTCACAGACGGTCAAATATCTCATTCAAACACAACAACAATGACAAACTCAAGGCTACTATCTTACTGCTTTACTAACATTAGAATACCCCACCCCAACACATGTCAAAATCAGCTTGTCTGCTCCTACTCGCAACTCCTGCGGTTCCTCCTCGTCATCAGTGCTTGGTGCCACTGGCTTCTGATCCTTCTTGATGCTGAATGTCACTTGGAAAAAATCTCGAATGTGTCGCAAGAACTGTATCCTGATAAAGATGTAAGGAAACAAATGATGAAACTAAAAATTTGTTCTTGTCAGAGTTCAAAAGAACAGAAAAACATCAATACGAAGTGGCCTCCAAGAACAAGTGGAAACACAAAAATAAATTGTGAATGTTAAAGCAACAGAGCCTGACCCCCCCCCCCCCTCCCCCCGCGCGAAGTCAATCACAACTTGTATGAAGTGGAAGGACCATCCATCAACATGTATCAAGAAGATTTATTCTAAACTTAAACTGTGCCTCTGCTGAAGAACAAAATGGGAGTCAAATTCGAAATCTGTCTTGCTCATATTCTAACAGAATCAGATGCAAATTTGCCTATTCCGTGAGAAACATTACATATACCAAAACTTGCATGCGGGTCATAAGATAAAGGGTGTGGCTGAAAGACAGCTGTCAGAAGGAGCCAAGGAGTAGCAGTAGAAAAGCTCTAGTAAGAGTCGGGAGCCTAGAGGGGTGGACATAAGCGGTCCAGAAACTTTTAAAACAAGATAAAGAATTAAATATGAAGAGCCTCATTTCATCTTGTTGTCATGTATTCACAATACATTATCCTCAGACTCGGATTACAAAGAATATGAACATTAGACATGTTTCCAAATAAAAAGTCTGTGTCCACCGTGTGCTCCCATGTTCCATGAAGAAATTTGTCTGCTGTTTTTGAGTAATTATGTTGTTATCCTGACAGTCCCACCCCAAAAAATGGCACAATAACCCTCTCCCTATAATTTCTTCACAGGTTTCTAACACAAAGAAGAAAGAAAAAAAAGGAAAAGAGCTCATCAACTTACGTGTACGGTGTGAGCTCCCCCATCTGTACCTTGGAGACATCCTGTTGCCCCAGCACCATCATAAGCGCCGCGAGACTTTGAGCCATGGAGCCCACACAGCCACCCTGAAAAAGGGAGAGATGGTGCATTGATAAGAGACTACTGTAGTCACACAACACTCTTTCAATACAGTGCAAATATCAAAACACAGAAAATGCTGTAACTGTATACAAATATTTTTTAAAAATTTCAGCACTGAGCTCTTTACGCTAACAGAGACAACAAATTCTCTACTCAACCCAGTCTATTTATAGTTCTATGCCCTCTTTACCCTAACAATTGGGGTAACATGTCATTTTTAAGTGTTGGGATATTCTCAAGTGAGAGAAAAGTTGCAACAACTCCTTTATGCCCAATTTATACTACTACTGCCTGCGCAACAAATAACACTAAAATTTACCTGGTATACTTGATTTTGGCAAGGATACACAGGGAGTGAAAAAGATATTGTAGTTTTAGTTTGCAAGTCTAACCCCTTCTTCCCTCAGTCACAATATTTAACTCACTCGTACATGTGTTCAGTAAACCTGTCTATCATCATTTATTTCAAAGGTCACAGGATGCACTGCAGGACCAAAAGGCCATTCTAGTACTTGAGTTTCATTTTACTCTTCGTAACCTATCACAAATCTCACTTACATCAATGTCTCTCCTTTACTGACTCAAGATAGAGTGCACCTGGACAAAGGTTTGCAAACATCACTGACCTGAGCTTATCTCTTTGAAATCAGAAATGTATGGGAAAAAGTAACCAATAATTACTAGAATAAATAAATCTCAGTAGCCTTGTATTAAAGAGCTCTGACTTTTGAGTAAATTTTAATCAAGTCCAAGGACTACTGAAGCTATGGGTAGAAAAAGATAGGAAGAGGTGATGAAGCCACTGCTCACTGTGAGTTTGGGGCTTCAGCATAAAAGCAAGATTATTGTTAGTGAATCCACAGCTAGTGACTCGTTCTCACCCTGTGTATTTCCTGCAACAAAGAAACTGCGGCTTTCTTGCCAATATCTTCAGGAATACTGGGACCTTCCCCAGACTTTCGGGCGTTGGACACTTCCTCTGCCGCGAGGAACGCCCCCTCCGTTGTCTCAGCCACAAGGGTCAGGCCAAACCCTGGAGACCTGACACAATGGGAGAATAAGGTTAAGAATATGCCAAGACAGTGTAGATTTACCCCTTTTTCAATACAGCCATGTTCTTTTGAAAATTATAAAAAGACATTTTATTCAGCAATACTACACTTTTGCGTTGCTCAGCTTTGGAATTCATTTTCTTTTCCACAGAATGCATCACCATGATGAGAGGGAGAGAGAGAGATAGAGAGAGAGAGATAGAGAGAGAGAGAGAGAGAGAGAGAGAGAGAGAGAGTTCACCTGACAGGACACTGAGACACTTGGCAGCCTCCACAAAGGTGCACACTGCGCCTATTGCATGTAATTGGGAATATGTAATCTTTCCAAAACTTCAACGAAGAAAAGAAAAGAGACACTTAATAACATTTTAAAATTTAGCCATTTTTACATGGTATACCAAGCAGAAATAGAAGTCAACCATTTGTTTTAAAGATCAGTACAACGAGTTTCTGATCATAAATTCTGATTGCCTTTAAAACTAATCTCACTATAATCATTAAAAAAAATAGTGCCTGGAGTTAAATTATTATTTCTTCAGTCCAAATTTATGAAGATAATAAGGTATACATGATATCAATAAACTGCTTCTTAGTTTTGGGTGCTTACAGAATAAAAAAACAAACCCCCATTAAAACACCGGAGTAGGTGATCATAATTAAATTATAGGAATTTCACAGAAAATTAAGATTCAGAGACAAATCAAACACGATCCTGCAAAATATCGGAGAATACTTTTACCAACCATGATAAGAGCAGCATGGTAGGTCGAGCCAAAAAAACAAACAAACCACAACCCCCTTTCTACCACAATTCTTAGCTAAAACCTGAACATAAAAGTAAAAGTATCCTCTCAAATTCTACAGACATTGCCCAAACAATGCGAAAACAAACAGGTAAGTAAAGTAAAAACAAGGGTAACAAAAAAGAGGGGGAAATGTACTTACTTTCCCGACTGGTTCCCCTTCATGTGGTCTGTGTAGATGTACACGTCGGTAAGGAATTTGTTGAGCACGCTGCGTGTTGAGTCCACCAGACGGTTCACGAAAGCGGGAGACACTCTTACAGACCATCTAGTGGGGGTCAAGGTCATTCAGAAGCACAACATATGCATCAGTATATGATGCCAATTGAAAAATTGTAGACATTTCCATCCATTGTTGACCTCAGGTGGAACACATAACTGGCAAAAAATAGGACAATTCATCTTTTGCTCCAAAATTGAAACTGATGCTGTTCCTGCAGGTCCTCAGTAAAAATTTTTCCACAGGAGAAGGATGGATATCCATTACAACTGACTTTGTAACAAAACATACCTTCTTGAAACTGCTGTACACCGTTTATCTTCCCTGCACTCTTTTTTTTGTCCCATTTCTGTTTTCGTGAACATTTCGAATTCGCAAATTCGCGATTTGAGTCGCCCAGTGTCATGCGTTCTAATGCAGCGATGCCCCTTTTAATATTATTTCGTGAAAGATTTGAATTTATGAATTTCTTTAAAAAACTATGAATTCAAGCCACACATGAATAAAAGAACATGTAAACAGTAATTTCGAGAAAGAAGTGATTTTTAGCCTATATAGACATTTTTTTAAAAACAAAAAACCCAGCTACAAAATGAGAGCATGGCACCATCAACATCTTTCCTTTCCAAAGAGGAAAAAAACCTAGCCACTTTTCAGAGAACAGAACTCTTAACCCTTAGAGCGCTGACTTCTTTCCCCTTATATTTTCCCTCTGTGCTGAATTTATTTTGGAAAAACGCCATAATGGCACATACGCTTTTCTTTGGCTAATAACTTTTTTATTTGTCAAAATTTCTAATGAAGGTAAGAATAAAAGTTTTAGAATATTGAAAGTTCTTTATGAATACGTGAAGCAAAAAGTATTTTGTGAAGTTATTGTTGTAGAGGTGGTGTTGGAAATGACTGAATAAAAACTGACGGTTCATTAGATCTCTAGATCTAGACCAGAGTCTAGATGCTTCGTAGGCCTACGTTATATTCCACAAAGTGTTAGCTCTAGCATCAAAACCCTCGAAATCATCTTCTGATTCAAGGAAAATACGCGGAACATCTTCATCTGAAGCGACACTATTTTCATGTTTGTTGCGGGTCACAACCGCGAATTTTCAGACTTCGTTCTTTTCGTATATCGCGTCATACTATGCCAATGTCTGTCGTGACCGGCGGTCGCGATTAGCACTTTACAGAAGTTTGGGCCGTCGTGACCGGTCGCGATCAGCACTCTAAGGGTTAACATAAATTTCTTTGTCCATACTGGACGTCAATCAGACTAAGATAAAGCTATAATTTATAAAAGGATACGCTACTCCCCGAATACGCTTGATCTTTCCTGGCTGCAGGAATTTGACTGGTCTCAATTTTTGTCGACACGGACAGCAAAACAAAACTTCACCTCCTCCATCAGGGGCTGCACCACGTTTGGAAATCTGCAATCAAACATAAGATGAAACAGAACAAATAAAAATATAATTGATATAACTAGCCATAACTATGTAGAATGTAATAATGCCCGACTTAAAGGAATGTATGCAATTTTCAGCACCTTGAATCTTGTCCCTGATCATCGCACTGGGCGCTAAGGAAACTTCCAAAAAAACCAAAAAAACAAAGAAAAACAATATGAACCCCTCCCCATTTGAATCCAAACTTGAGCATGGCATAGAAATGTTCTATAAAAGAATTTCAGTTTGAGAGACTAAACCAGCTATATTTATGATTTCATTCCCACCCTCTTCACCTTAAGCTCCAATCCTTCGTCTGTGCCAAGGAATCGCTTCAACACTGGGAACACTGACAGCTTCAACAGATCCACCTGAGAAAAAAAAGATAACCACATTGATTTTCCCAATAGTATTTTGCTGATCAGCAAATTTAAGATCCTCTATCGCAATTTCTATACTTCTAAAATCAGAAAAGATTTCAATTACATACACAAGTTTTGTGTAAGGCCATCATTATTGTTTTGAAAAAATAAGTAATCTTATCTAATAAGTCTTCTTCTTCTCCTTTACGTTCCTCTGCAAAATCTCAGTGGTAGTCGACTGCTGGTTCTTCAACCTGCACTGCAACCTTTTACGTATGTGATCGTTTTTCCTGCAGGCTGCCACATTCCAATTTCGAAGGTACTCTATGTTTTTATACCAACCAGAGTATTTTCAGTTTTGGTAGGAATTCATTTTGAATTTTCCATGAGTGGCGGCCGTAGCCTACTCTTATCGATTTTAGAACCACAGAGGGATCTTTACTGTGCTTAGCTTGCACACAGGACCTCTGAGATTTTTCGACCTTACCAAAGAAGGCTAGGTGTTCAATCTTACCTACCCTGAGAAAGAACAGGGGTGTATCTAATAATTCTAATAACTTACACAATTTTTTTGTTTTGTTTTTATGTTGAGACACTGTGAATGTTTATTGCTCTATCTGATTAATTCAGTAATCATATTCTGTCTTCAGCCTTATGATAGTACAGATTTCCACAGCTGGTAGTACTGCAACACTGAACCCCAAGTCCAGTGGAAGAATACACCAGAGAAGTAACTTGTCGGTTCTCAAAGGACACCACAAGATGATAGCGCTGGACACTGAATACCACCTGTAAGCATACTGGTAATGGATGACGCCAGAGGATTTTTTTTTTTAACTATTAAAACCATGAGGTCACATCCCAAATGTTATACATGTATCTGCTCTATCAAAATTGTAATATTGTAAGATCAAGATATTCAAAGGACTGCATTCGAAAAAGCTTGACAAGTGAAACTCAAAATTTTGTATGTCAAATTTCTCAGCCTCCTGAGCAGATAGAACTCTGTAATTCTAGGGTAGTGAAAATGAAATGCCCAGAAACTGGACAAAACTTGAGGAACAATTACAACCCTAAAAAGACTCACAGGGTACACATAATCAGAGAAAAATTGATGACCTCTATGCTCCCTGGGAAGTAAAAATGACAAAAAGAAATCAAAAGTTCTGATTGGTGGAGTATATCCCACGAAAAACTGATTGGCTCCGTCTGCATAGACATTTAGAAGAACTTGACAAGGGAAATGCATGCAGCGATACCAGTAACACAAACAAAGCTGTCGGAATAGCAGACCACACCAGAGTGCCTACAATGGACAAGAAGGCAGTAGGAGAAGGCAAGCCATGCTACCACAGAGTAGGTTGTTCTTTCAAACTCAATGACGACACCATAAACAAGCAAACAGAGGACAGAACACTCCTGCAACTCACAGATGGATCGTCCTTGTCACATGTGACACCCCTCAATACAGCTCGCAGTGGCTCCTTCGTGAATGGAGCCAGACACATGAGCATCTCCAGATAGTATCCGATGGGTCTTGCCACGTGACAGTCATGATCGATACCTCCTCCAAGCAGAAGTCCTGGCCTGTAAATGATCTGAGTGCCTGTTAAAAAACAAAACTTCCTTATTCAAGCTTGCAACACAATGACAGAAGAAATGCAGCCAACAATACCTCACTTTTATCAACACCCCCCCCCCCCCGACTACAACAAAACATACCGGGTATTTAGTGAGGTGGTTAGACACCCAATTGATCCAGCCTACTTCAAACACCACGATTATAATGGAAAAGCAGAGTAAGAAACCAATTTATTCACCAGCCACGTCCACATTAGACTGGGAACAAAACCTGGTTAATGAACCCCCCCTCCCCCGCTAGAATTCTACAGTAAGAGACAAAAATTATATTTTCTTATATGTCCTCTCAAATAAATCATTGTCATTCCATCTAGATAGACTGCTGGATACACAATTGTCTTATCACCCCAACAACATCTTACCTGTCTCGTTAATAACCGTCTTGGTACCGTTTGTCACTTTGTCCAACAGACGAATGAAACTGATTTCAAAATCTGAAGAAAAAAAAAGCACAGGAAAGAAATTGTTCCAACACAACAACATTAAATCATCATGAAAAAACATTTCTGACAAGATGAACATCACATCGATTAACTTTAAGTAGTAATGCACAAAATCTTTCCATCAGCTACACATGAGGTTTCAGTTTTCGGTAAAAACATGCTCCAGCCGTAACAACAATTTGGATTGATCATGATGACATAATATTATGGGAATCCAGCATTAAATAAAGTTGATGAATCAGCGAAGGTAACAAAGCAGCAAGACTTTTCAAGGTAAAATGTACATAAATGGTGAAGGAAACAACCTCTAAGCTAACTCCTGAAAGAGTTTTGCTGTACAGGTAAGTTCAGAAATATGACGATACAACCACATTTAGAGAAATATTTCACAAGCTTTACTATAGATCTAGATTAGATCTAGACTAGTATACACAATACTGTAACTGTAAACAGAGTGCTCGTCATTGGGGGGTCAGTTCTCTCACAAATCACAAACCAATCACCCGACTCATCACCTGATGTTTGCCTTTGAGGCAACAAGTTGGGCGATCGGTTTGAGCCACGATAACCGTTTTGCGCCCTAAATCTGGCTAGCAAACTGAACCGATCGTGCCAAGGCCAAGGGCCAATGGGCATGGGCACTGGCTGGGAATATTAATATTAGTATTCACTAGTACTATACCTAGATCAGATATCTATCTAATCTATGTACGCTAAATCGCTGTGTCTACGTACATGGTAACCGGGCACCCAGTCTCAGTATCTACAGTCTACATACACGGTAACCGGGCACATAGTCTCACCTAGTCTTAGTATCTACGTACACGGTAACTGGGCATCTACCTAGTCTCAGTATCTACGTACACGGTAACCAGAATGAAAATAAATCAATATTTGTCCTGTGCTGTCACTTGCTGAAAAAAAAAGGAAATCATAGCCAACATGATGTAAATGTACAAGCGTCTTGTCGGGCTCGCCATCGTGACCAGTCAGTGAACCTGTGCGTGTGCATCAAATTGTGAATACTGGTTGGGGTCATCAAAGTTCATTCAAAATCTGTGCGCTGCGAAGTATAGGGCCCCGGAATGGGGGGAGATTATTGATTTTTTTAAAAGGTACAGTCGGGGGAGGGGTG